AGTTGCAGAAGCAGCAGTAGCCCCTAACTGTAAAGGAAAAAAATTAAAGTGATTTACCAATACTCCTTAATCATCAAAGTAATTACTTGCACATAAATTAAAGAGAGACATCAGTTGCTTGAGGAAAAATGTATAGTATGTCAACACTACATATAACTAAGCTGTAGAGCAACTGGAGGGAAATAACAGATTTGCATCATGATCAATCTGGAGAGAAGTCATGGATTTGACTTGTGATGAAACAACTAGAGAAGACATGGATTTGAATCATGATGTTTCCAATTCAACATCAAGTCATCATTTGAGAAAGTTGGCAGGCTGTCTGTACTTCAGTTCAGGAGACAACTCCTTATGGTCTTCTGGCAAGGATAAAGAGTTCTTGCAGAAGGTCATGATATGCACACATGCAGAATCACATAGGCAACATATTGAGGGATATCATCCAGGAGCCCAAGAAATTCTCAATGCCTCAGTGCAAATTCAGCAGACAGTCAACATAATTAATCAACCAATGCTACTCTTAATTGTCATAAAACTTACCAGAACACCTAAATCGATCTTTGGGGCTGCAGTTATCTGTGATGGCATTGGAGGCAGGTTTTTCTTGACGTTGTAGGGATTCTCTAATGACTTGTTCACCTCATTTTCCTCTGCATACTGTGCAGTTGGGATGTGTGCAGTGACTGCTGCTTCAGGGACAGTCTTGCTTCTTCCTGATGAGCTGCTGTTTGACGTTGGACGCTTTCTGTAAAATGGAAAGACATTGATGGTATGAAGCCATAGCTATCTATCAAGGAGGAGTTTGAAACCAACAATGGCAACACTTTAATAATCATACTAATTATAATAAACAAAAACCATAAAAACAATAGAAATTAATGTATCTTAATATATTTAAGTATTACCTTCTATTTCTCCTCTTGTGTCTCCCACTTCCACTTCCGTCACTCGCTGTTGAGACAAAAAGAATTTAGTTGTAAATTTACCTAATTTAAACTTTAATTGTTGGTTATTGCTAAAAGCTTATAAGTATTCAACTTGGGAAATGCAAGATTGCATTAAAGAGTACTTACGCTCCAATCGTGGCAAGGAGGGGTTGCCGGAGGTGTTTGGCCCGTTTAGGGCTTCCCCCAGAGGAACTGCCTCATATCCTTGGGGTACGTTCTCTTGATTTATCTAAAAAGAGACCATCATATCAATAAGGATAAGTAAATCAGTGAACACATTGGAACACTAAGAACAAAAATAGATTATTAATTAATTAACTTACATTGCTGTCATCTGCATGGGGTACACCTGACACCTTGCGCAAGGCTCTTATCTGAAGAAGGGCTCGGAAAGCTATGAGTAACAGAAAAATACTGAACGTTATATGGTTTTCTAAAATATGAAAATTATATTCTTACCAATCAGTAACTTGAAGATGAAATAATAAAGAGGAAGTACAGTTGTGTTAAATTTCAAAAACCTGATTACATGTTGATTAAAACGTGACTATTGTATATAAATATTTTCCAGTGGCGAATCCAGAGGGGGTTTACAGGGTTCGGACGAACCCCCCCTCTGTGAAGAAACCTAACAAAAGTTATTACCTGACCTTTTTCAAGAGAGGGAAAACCTCAAATTTTGAAGAACTTAAAAGGTCATTTAAAGACATCTCAGAAGTCGGGAAAGCTCATTTCCGGCCATCTAGGAATCAAAATTTTTCTGGACCCCCCTTTTTTGAGGTGGTTTTTGGGAACTTTCTGAACCCCGCTCTTTGAAATCCTGGATCCGCCCTGTTTTCTGTAATACAGTATACCAAATATGTCAAACAACAGGACTCTTTTGTAGTGACATCACAATTAAACTTACGTGCTCGGCAGATTGGACAGCAGCTTGACTGGTAGCGAAGGGAATCAGCTACAATGAAAAGAAATTAAGTTTGTAAGGTACTCATCCATTCATTCAATAAACTATTCATAGCAATGTATTCATTTCATTACAATTATAGCCAAGTGAAATCTTGTGCAGCCTTATTGCCATTTGAGGGCAAATATCTTCAAGAATCAGCAATATGTGAAATATCGGTGAAGGAAATTGACCTTTACACTAAAGCACCGCCCCTTGGATGTTGTTGCTAAGGTCCTACAAAACGACATTTTTAAAACATACGCAAACATGTGCATTTGTAGGACAACATGTGTGCTTGTTGGACATGCTTATTCTAGGCACTGTTGCAATGGGTCATTAGTTAAGTTTGATTGGCATGCCAGTAAAAGTCATTCATCATCTCGGATTATTTTTGTATTTCTTGGTTATTAATAATAATAGATGGGTGCTGCAGATGAGTGAAAGATTTCAATACCACTCTCACTCCACTTCTTTAGTAAATGTAATGTTTTGGGATAAGTGGTTTTTAGGCTCAAGATAGTTTTGGCTCAATTTGCATTGTATAAATTTGGCTTTGGTACAAGTTGGTTTAGATCAAGTTGTCTTCGCAATGTTAAGTGCACACTTACCACATCCATTGCATAGACAAAGGTGTCTGCAGGGAAGAATCAAGGTGTCTCTTGCATCTGACATGCAGATGACACAGTCAGAACCATTGTCATCCAAGGCATCGTTGTCCAATTCATCCTGTAAGTTCATAGAGCAAAAAATTATCATTACTTAAGCATGCACAGAGGGAACAATTGAGATGTTCTCTTCAATTTTGTAGAGAATACATCAGTAAACTGTGAAAACCCCATCTACCCACCTCCGCATTATTTCTGATAGTTATATATCACCCTCAAAAGAGATGGTTTTACAAACAACTGTACTTTTATTAAGTATAGTACCACTGGGAAAACCCCATTTTCAATGTGAAATAAAAAGAGGAAGTACAATATGCATCATTATCATATTATCCTTATCAGAATTGCAATTTAACTATCTCTATAATAAACTAATGTACATAGATAAATTACCTGTATCATAGTAACCTTCTTGTTCTCAATGCCATAGATCTCTTGCAGTAAATAGTAGACTCCTTCCACCATCTGTTTCTGTTTCAGTGGTTTGATTACAAACAGGTCATCAGATACCTTATCCAATGTGGCCAACAATGCATGGCTGTGACCAGCATGTTCTGAAATAGTGTAAATTTGTAAAAGAATTAATTATAACCTATTTATTAATAGGTTTGTTTTGACCTTTCACATGAACTGAAAAATGGACAAGCAAACTGTGCACTAATGAAACATTAGTGCATGGTTTGGGATATATAAATAATGTTAGCATTACAATGATGGCATCACAATTGACTTATAATCTTTTTGTTTATTATAGCCAGCTTTATCTTATGATCTACTGATAGTCACCACTGTAAGACTATTGAAACGAACACCATGTCAAGTATTGAAATAAAAGCAATCAACCGATAGCAACTGCTTTTCGATTTTCGATATGCATATTTGTTGTGGGACAACATTTTTTCACTCACAACCAAATAGCTTGTTTTCGAAACACTTTAAACAAACTAATTACTTTAGAAAAACTTACCGTCACCTTCATCTACACAACACTGTATAACAACTGGAATTAGGTCCTTTAGTGGGTCAAAGTTGAACTGAAATTACAATACAGGAATATGGCATGATGATACTTGTTTCAATATATTTTAAATGAAAATTCAATAAGGATCTTGTTTACTTAAGATATTAACATTACAATTTTTACTCACATCAGCTTCGGTGAAACGTCCAGGATTGATGATGAAGGCAGGCTGTTTAAAGAGTTGGTTGGCACCCTTCTGGTACTGGAAGGTCTCAGAACGTATACCTAAACCTTCCTTAGGTTGGTATCTGAATTGTACAAGAAAAACTCTACATTAATAAAATGCATTCAAAATGCTCTCTGCTCTCAACTAAGTCCAACCGTAACTAAAGTAGTGAGAGTGGAGCAGAAGCAGAAAGCCTTTTCCAGCTGATGTCTATGAAATGCGACCATAATATTCACCCAAAAAAATAAAACAGAGATCTACTTGGTTGTTAAGATGATTGGTTGCCTCCCAATCCCATGCATTTGTGGGGCACACCACATGTGTTTGTGAGACAATCACATGTTCCTGGCTCTGTTATGATTGGTCGGTTGTTAAGTTGATTGACATTTCTGAAAGGTCCATTACGTGAATAATACTTACACAGCATGCTGTCCATTTACAATCTCCTCTGTTGCAAACAAGTACACCGTGATTGCGACTTTTGCCTCGCTATCAAATACAAATTCCAAATTGTATCTATCTGCCATATCTGTTGATTCCTCCTCAGTGTCAAAGTTCCTTAACATTCAAACAGAATAACACATTGAAAATAATTGTATATTTTTTAAAAGTTATTTCAAATACAGTATAACATATTTTCATCTAGTTTTTGAATACAGTACATTATAATTTTAACCATAATTTTTACCCTTTTTATATACTGTATTTACTATAAATTAGTGTAAAAAGCAGTATCAACAGCATAATTCAACTTCTTCACAACATCAAACATCACACATCACTGTAAGCGCAATGGGTTTGGTTGATTGTTAAATTCTACTGAATATAGTGTAACTATAGTATATACTGTACATACCTGTTGTCTTTCACTAACTTCACAGAATCCTTACGAATATTAACTAAGCTTTTGAGGGTTTTTGTCGGCTCGTTTGGTTGAGGGGGTGGGTATGGAAACTAGAAAGAAATTGGAAGGCTAAATAAACATTCTGAAAGGTATATTTTTCACACAATGTTAGTTTGATTATGTGGGACTATACCCAACAGGGCCACAGTAAAGAGATGAGATATTATGGTGATCTCTTGGAAGATGGTGTTTTAAATATTGGTAAATATTTATTTAATCAATACAATTTAGGACAGCATGAATCTTACACAGAGAATTGTAACAATTTGCATTGAATGCTCGTACATTTGTACTATTTCTTGGTCATCATTGTTACTGGCATTGATATAAATATTAATGAAAACTATATACTGTAATTTTGTTTACAAAGTTTAAAGTTAAATTTGTGAATGTATTAATGAAATTTTTAAAATAACTAGTGAATCGTCACCATTTTAAATGTTTGTTCATTAAAAATTAAATAGAAATATTCTTACTGGAGCCGGCCTTGAACCTAAGTAGTTGAGGTCAGAATTTTCCCCAAACAAGTAAGCCTCGGGCTGTGGAGTTTCGAAGCGTTGACCACCCATTGTGAAATATCCCCCAAAATAACATCCTGAAAACAATAATATAAGTATAGTGCACAATTTAAATAATTATGGTAGTTGAATTGTTAAATCATTACTAACTCTTTTAACACATTTTAATATTAGGCCAAGTAAAAAAAAAAATGTAGATTCTCAATAACCTACACATCACTCAAATTGTACACTTGACCGCTGATAATAACCAACACCCTTGTATTCCCTGCCTATTCACGCCCTTCACTTCTGTGAAGCGGAGTGATCTTCCGCATTCAGAACTTTATTTTGTTCTAATTTGCCCAGCTCAAACGAACGAAATCACATTTTCTCGTCCTAATATTTTGAAAAAGAGAATGAGGGCACATTTTTTTTTTACTCCGAGATGGCAAATCCAAGATGGTCGATGGGAAACAGCTACTACTTTCTCACTTTTACCAAGTAGACACATTGAAAGCAAATAAAAGAAGTACTAGACATGATTCATACATGTATCCCCAACCACGAACGATCGAGAGAGGAATTTTACTGATCCATAATTCGTACATTTCGTAAAATAAATGAAATTAAAAAAAAAAATAAAAATGAAAAAAAAAAAAAAAAAAAAAAAAAAAAAAAAAAAAAAAAAAAAAAATGCATGCACTAGAAGACGAAAACCTAGTAATTTTCTTTAGCCCTAAATAGTTTGAGCCAAAAATAATCCAAACAGAATATGTATTTATAATACAATAACATCTTTTTTCGACACAAGAGTCATTAACATATGGAATTCATTACCACAAAATAGTCTACTTCTCAATAGTATTAAAAACTGTACTGCTCTATGTAATGTTTTGTAGGTACGATAGCTAGACCATTGAACTAGGCCTAGTAGGCAAATTCGATCCAACTCGGCCACAAGTCAACTCGGCCACAGTCAACTCGGCCACAAGTTAACTCGGCCACAAGTCAACTCGGCCACAAGTCAACTCGGCCACAAAAA